AATGTCCACCAGAAGTGACCGGTTAAGTAAACAATGACACGGCCACACCGTGGAAGAATCCTAAACCCACTGCCGTCGGGCTAAGTCTAACGCACAGCCTCCCTGCGTCGAGTTTCCAAGGCTGCAAGTCTTCCTGGGCGCTGGATAGCCTCATCATGGTTGGCAGCCCAACGCTTACTCCACAGTGCCGTGGAGTGAGGAAGGAGCCCGCAACGCTGCCCAGGTGTCTCCAAGCTTCTGCGAGACCTGTCATCCCAGAAGTGTGAGCAGACAGACAAGGTGCAGAGAGAGGGCAGGACCAAGGTGATGCTTGTGGCTGTGTTGACCCAGGGAATCCGTGGAAAGACGAAGCCCTAAAGGGGTGACTGGGAGAAGCAACAAAGCCCACATGGAACAACATATCAACCTGTGTGATCACGAGGTGTCGAACGGATCACTAAAGACAAAGGGGTGCATAAGCAAATGTGGCGAAGAAAGCTGATGGTGCCCGGCTATCAAAAAGTATAGCGTCTGGGGTCTTAAGGGCTTGAAGGTAATCAAGCGGCCATCAAGCTCAGAAGCAACAAAGCCCACATGGAAGAAGTACACCAGCCTATGCAACCACGAGGTGTCGAAGGGATCAGGTGTAAGGCATCATCAGAACAAAAAATCGTACCATAGTGAATGATGTGGGGAGTGCGGAGTGGAGACCCAAAGCCCATTAGTAGGCCACTGGAGATCCCCTTGCAGAGGGGTCTCGGGGAGGAGATGAGCCAGTCAGGGTGCGATGTAACAACAATGAGAAATACTACTTTCCTCTAGTTCCTAAATGTTTCCTCCCCGCTCCCACTACCATGACTCGAATTCGACCTTGCAAGTCTGGCTAGACCAGAGGAGGTACACTGGTACAGATAGGAACTGAAAATACAGGGAATCCAGGACGGAGGAGCCCTATAGGACCAGTGGTGTGAGTGGCAAAACAGGGAGGGTAAAGGGAGAATGGGTAGAAAGGGGAAACCGATTACATGGAACTGTGTGTGACCTCCTCCCTGGGGGACAGACAACCGAAAAGTGGGTGAAGGGAGACGTCGGACAGGGCAAGATATGACAAAATACCAATTTATAAACTATCAAGGGCGCATGAGGGAGTGGGGAGCGGGGAGGGAAGGGAAAAATGAAGACCTAATGTCGGGGGTTTAAGTGGAGAGAAAATGTTTTGAGAAATGATGTACAAAAGCGCTTTACACAATTGATGCGTGTATGGATTGGGATGACAGTTGTATGAGCCCCTAATAAAATGTTAAAAAGAAAGAAAAAGGGGGTGACTGGGGACAAAGGCTGGGGGATGAAGGAGATGAAGGTGGGAAGGAGCCTTTTCACCAAATGCCTTCAAACCCTACAAGTGGTTGTAATACATTTTAAAAAGCTCCGAATTAAAAATATATATATGAAAGGACAAATCGCTAGGCAGAGCGTGTGGTCTAGAAGTATGTTCTGTGAACCAGGATGAGTGGAAGTGGGGTTCTCAGTGGAAATAATCTAACAAAATGACTAAAGTCTAAGTAGAACCCCAGTCCTGGGACAAGTTACCACCTCTCTGAACCCTCAGTTTGCTCCTCTGTAAAACGGCTTATTAATTTGAGGTTGCTATGAGATTCTATGGGAACCCTGGCGGTGTAGTGGTTTTGAGTTGGGCTGTGATCTGCATGGTCAGCAGTTCAAAGCCATCAGCAGCTCCTCGGGAGAAAAACGGGGCTTTCTACTCCTGCAGACAGTCTGAAAACCCACCAGAGATCGCTGAGTCAGCATTGACCAGATGGCAGTGTGCTTAGAGTTTGGGGTAGGAGATTCTAGATCAGCGCTTCTCAACCTGTGGGTCGTGACCCCTCTGGGGGCGTCAAACGACCTCTCACAGGGGTCGCCCAATTCATAACAGTAGCAAAATGACAGTGATGAAGTAGCAACGAAAATAATTTCATGTTTAGGAGGGGGTGGGGGTGGGGGGGATGGGTCACCACCACATGAGGAACTGTATGAAAGGGTTGCGGCCTTAAGAAGGTTGAGAACCACTGATCTATGTGCTCGTGGACTAAGGTCGCCAGCAGAGGAGGTGCAGAAGAGCCACCAGGGGACTCAGGTACCCGCCAGTGTTTGAGAAGGGCTGGCATAGTGTCCGTGCCACCAGGAAGCACTGAGCTCCTGAGCGGGCAGAGGGGGTGGGGAACAGCAGGCAGGGTGTCGGGAAAGAGCCAGTGTGCTCCAAAGGCTGAGGGGGCAGCATACTTGGTGCCCACAGGGCATGTGGTGGGAACAGAAAGGGGGTCACGAATGGTGACACATTTCTCAGGCAGAAAGGCAGGGCCTGTTGGGTCTGTCCCCTGCAGGACAGGACAGAACAGAACTGCTCCTTAGTCTCTCCAAGTCCGCACATCCTCTTCCTCCCTCGGAGCCCCTGGGAGGTCCCCAGCCCTCAGTGTAACTCACGGCACCACCAGGGCCCCGGACTCCCTGCCATCAAGTAGATGCCGACATCACAGTGACCCTCCAGGGCAGCAAAGAACTGCCCCGTGGGTTTCTGAGACTGTGACTCTTCATGGGAGTAGAAAGCCCCCCGTCTTTCTCCAGAGGAGTGGCTGGGATTCAAACTGCTGACCTTGTGGTTAGTAGCCCCTCCTGTAACCACGTTGCCACCAGGGCTCCCCAGCTTGGGTAGAGGTGCCATAAAGAGGGAAAGAGAAGCTCTGAGCCCGTTTCTCCTCTGTAGGAAGGACGTGGGGCGGGGGGGGTGTCACACTCCCCCCCCCTGCCAAGGGCGGTTCAGCAGATTAACTCTGCATGGGCAGGGCCTGCCTGGTACAAGGCCTGGCTCACAGGGGCATCCTCCAGCCGTCGTTTCTTCTGTTTCTTTTCGTTTGGGGTGGGATGGAAAACGTGGGGGAACCAAGGTGACCGGCCCATGCGTCCCAGGTGGCAGAGTCTGAAGGTCAAGGCTCGCCGGCCCATGTCACCCCAAAGGGCACCCTGTCCAGGAAACTGTCCTCCTCATCCTGTAGGGCAGTCAGCAGCCTCCAAGAGTCCAGACTTCAACAGGAACGAGCCCTCCCCTGTCCCAACCTGATGGTCCCGCCCACTTTGAGGTGCCTTCCCTGGGGCAGGTTCAGGGCCCAAATCTGTCCAGCTCAGCAGCCGGTGTTGTTGCTGCTCAGCCCCCACGGGAGTCATCTAATGACGGCACCTCACACTTGCCTCCTCCCGGTAAAAGAAACAGCCAAATAATAGGCTCCCCTCAAAACAGACAAAAGCTCAGTCCTGTAATTAAGGCTTGTCTCCACAATGACTGGGGCCTTCTGTGAGCCCACTGTCCTGGCCGGCCCTGGAATGTGGGCTGCGATGGGGAAGCCGCAGCCTCCCCAAAGGCCCAGCCAGGCCATTGTCAAGTCAGTGGTCTGTCCTCCAGCAAACTCCAGAGCCCCTGGCTGGGAGGGTGGGCTCTGAGTGTGGAAGGGCAGGCTGAGACCTTGTGAGCGCCACCGTTCAGTCATCCCCATGCCAGGTCTCTGCTGTCACCTTGCCAGCAGCACAAGTCAGAAGGTGGCCCAGCATCCCAGCTCCCAAATGTCACCGAACAGCAGGTGGTCTTGTCCAGTCCTGTAGCTGCCCGTGTAGGCCTGTAGGAGAGGGTGGCCCTCAGTGGGCTAGGCAGGGGGACCTGGGGATGAGGTCAGAGCTGGCGTGGATGCCCACAGGGGCCTGGAACCTGCAGGGGGATGGGGGGGTAGGGGCGGCTCAGAGTTGAGTGTCTGGTGCCTGGGGAGGATAGAGACTACAGAGGCCTGGAACAGGCAGGCCAGCCCTGGGTCAGGAGAGGGCTAAGGAGAGACCAGGTTCCTTCGGGGCCATGGGATCGCGGCTCAGTGGGAATGATCCTTGGCTGGGGAGTGGATTTGGGTTTGTCCTTGGTCAAGCTGACACGTCTCAGAGCCTCAATTTGTTCATCTGTAAAACGGGGCCGTGATGCGCTCCCCGAGTGAGCCACCTGGCAGAGAGGTTCTGCTCATGGTAGGCTCAGTGACTTCCTTCTCCCACCCCCTCCTCCCAGCCACCCCTCACCTGCTGGCTCTTGGGAATGTGAAAGGAAGAACCGGAGCAGCAGCCCAGAGAGGAGGCCGGAGGGCAGAGCCAGTGCACCCAGAACCCCAAAGAGGAACACTCCCCCTGGGCCCAGGAAACAGGGTGGGGCGGATGACTGCAAGGTCAACTTGCTTTGAAGGCTGGCAGAATCATCTCCTGTGACAACCCACAACCTGAAATAATATATGTGTGTGCATTAAAACAATAGTAAGAAGGATTGCTCATTGTTCAGTACAAAACCAAGTTCTATGTCGATGGAGACTGTAGTAAGTCTGTCAAGTGTATCAAGGGCAGGCAGAGGTTTGGAGTGACGGGGGTCAGGTGGAGTGTTGGCGTGATTGGTGGGCTTTAGAAACTTTGGGACAAGCTGGCCCGCGTGATTGGTGGGCTTTAGAAACTTTGGGACAAGCTGGCCCACGGGTGTTTGGTCTTAAGACTCCGTCAATGGCTGGACTAATTGAGCGTGGGCTGCATTCTGAGTGTTTAAAAGGCAGGGGCAGCTAGAGACCAGGATCCCAGCGCTGTGTCTGCTGTGAACCGTCCACGGGATGGTGAGCCAGCTTCAGCCTCAGGCCCTGTCTACATCTTACTACTTAGATGTGGTTGCGCGTTGGGTTAAAAGGCTCTCTGCCCGGCAAGAGTCGGGGTAGAACAAGAAGCGAGGCTGCATGGGGGGCTCCCTCCAGCTCAGAGGAAAGAGAGGAGAAGGAGAAGCATTCCAAGTGAGGGCAGTCAGCATTTTCTCATCCCAGCGGCCCCCTCTCAGCCAGGTCCTGTGTGCCAGCGTGGGAGGGTCTGAGCTTCCACCCCAGGCCTTTGCCTTTCGGGAGTCAGTACGGCCCATATGCATCTCACTCAAGTTCCCGGGACTAAACTTGGGACCTCCAGGGCAAGCCCGGGACATGTTTCTATGGTCCTTCCTGCCTCTCTTCCAAGCGACCCGCTCAGAGCAGTGGCTACAGGTACTGGCCTCTCAGCTGTTTGGGGCACAGCTCCTGGGGGACTGCATAGCCCACCCATTGTAATGGACGGAGGACTGTTTAATGGGGTTCACGCTTAGTCTGAAGGACCACTGCCATCCAACAGATCCCAACTCACAGGAATCGAGGCAGGGTGCTGTCGGAGGCTACAGCATCTTTACGGAAACAGACAGCCTCGTCTTTCTCCTGTGGAGCAAACAGGTGGGTTTGAACCTTGAGGTTCATAAGCCAATGCTTACCTGACAACACTACCAGGGACCCAGCAGTGATGCTGTTAAGATCCTACCTCACCCAGGTCTGTCAGGAGACATGGACAGGGCCAGATTACCCAGTAAGCAAGGAAAGCATGGGCCGACTTGTGCTTGCTTACTAATCTGTAGGGAACAGTGCCACAAGGTTTTCACCACAGAGTGATACATAAGCACAGGTAAACCGGTGCTTACCTTACTTAGTGAGCCATCTGCCCCAGGGGATGGAGGGGATGTCCTTATGGTGTGCTTAGGTGAGTGGGAGGTGAGCAACTGTCAGTCCATCCTTGGGGAGGCCCCAAGCTCTCCACACTCACTCACCTCGAGTCGATGCTGACTCACGGCGATCCGATAGGATGGGGTAGAACTTCTCCCGTGGGTTTCCAAGACTGTAACTCTTTACGGGAGCAGAAAGCCTCATCTTTCTCCCTCGGAACAGCTGGTGGCCTTGAACCGCTGACCTTGCTGTTAGCAGCCCAAGGCAGAACCACAAGGAGGAGATCGAGAAGTCAGGCGGGACCTGGATGCCCAGAGTGCGACCCGCGGCTCTTGCGCTGGATTCCCTGGGCCACCAGCTCTGATCTGTACCCGTGCACATGCTCTGATCGAGCCTGATTTGTAAGGTAGAATTTGGACCCTCAGGACCAATAATGAGAGTAGAGATACCAGGAGGATAGGAGGAAGGTGGGGGGAGAAAGGTGGAACCGATCACGAGGCTCTACCTATAACCCCCTCCCTGGGGGACGGACAACAGGAAAGTGGGTGAAGGGAGACAGTGGTCAATGTAAAATAGGAAAGAAAATAATAATTATTTATAAATGATCAAGAGTTCATGAGGGAGGGAGGGTGGGGGAGTGGGTGGAATGAGCTGATACCAAGGGCTCAAGTAGAAAGAAAATGTTTTGAGAACGATGATGGCGACAAATGTACAAATGTGCTTGACACAAAGGATGGATGGATTGTGATAAGAGCTGTGCAAGCCCCCAATAAAATGATTTTTTTTTTAACCTTGCAGAAATAAAGACCACTGCACAGCAAAACAACAACAACAACATCAACAAAAAAAACAAAAAAAAACAAACAGCCGAGGGAGATGGGAAACAAACACCGCGTGCGTGCAATCATACTACCTGCGTGCAAAACGGTAAGAGCCGTTACGTAAGGACAGCTGTGAACAAGAAAACACTCCTTAGGCACATGAGGCCGCTGCCCCTGGCTGGGGTGGGGTGGGATGGGCGGGGAGATGAAGAGGAGGAGCTACATCAGGCAGGAGAGGAGTCTTTCGGGGACCAGTGGCCACAGTGGGGCAGGAAGTGAGAGCCTGAGGTCCAGCGATAGGAGAGCAGGGCGAGAAAGGAGCGGAGAGCTTGGAAGTGTGTTCACATCACAGAGAGGAGATCTCCATGACCCGGTCTCCGGACGGAAGACATTCGCATGCCTCTCAGGCCTTCGCTGTGGAGAGGGAAGGACGGGAGGCTGTATGAGTGTGTGGGGGGAGAGGGCACACAAGTCAGCCCTGCCTGGGCCTCCCCAGCTCTCCTTGTCCTGTCAAACACCCCCGGAGCACCATGGGTGGCAGGCCAGCACCCGTCCCCTGCCGTCCAGGGACTGTAACCAGGCATGAAATGAGGTCATACCTGGAGAGTGAGTGGCAGAGATGTCAGAGATGTCCGAGAAGGGAGTTCCTGAAGGCAGGGCGCAATCAGGGTTGTCCGGGGGTTAGAAACGACCGCAGCCTAACAGCTCATGGCAAAGGAACGCTAAGGATGTTAGGTTGGGCTGCTAACCACAAGGCTGGCAGTTCAAAACCACCAGCTGTTCTTTGGGAGGAAGTGGAGGCTTTCCACTCCCATAAAGAGTGCCAGTCTCAGAAACCCACAGGGCAGCTCTACCCTGTCCTGTAGGGTCGCTGTGAGTCAGCATCGACTCGATGGCAGTGGCTCACGACTCATAGCACCGGACACAGAGCAGCCGCGACCCTAAGCTGCCTTGACCTGTACCGATCCACCTGCTGGACTCTGTTCTCATTGTCCCTTTGCCGATGGAGAGCTGAGGCTCAGAGAGGTTAAATCATGGATGCTGAGACGTGGCGTAGCTGGGGTTTGAACCAGGCAGTGGGACCCTGAAGGCTTGGTGGGATAGGTATCGGGCCGCTCACTACGAGGCTGGTGGTTCAACCCCACCATCTGCCCCACGGGAGGAAGACAGAGGCTTTGTGCTCGGTTTGCCTCCTGGGGGCTCTCTCTGGGGTCACTGTGAGTGGGAAGGGACCCGAAGGCAGGCGGGTCACACGCATCCAGAAGGGCTTGTTCCTTTAACCACTGTCCACATCTGCCCCGCAGACGATGTGTAAAGTGAAGCTTAAGATATGGCTGACTGGCCTTCCTAACGGGGATCTCAGTTCCTGCTCCCTCGGGAGGCTGGAGGTTCCCACCCATTCTTGCCGGGGTGATGGTGGGCTCAGGACACCTGTGGTAGGACTCCGTCCTATGATCAGTCAGGTGGTCCCTGCATGAAGGCTTTAGGACAGGACTCAGCTCCCCCCCACCTGCAAATGTCCAAGATGGAAGGACTCCCCTCCCGCCATTCCTCATTGCACACCTTAGGAAACTGAGGCCAAGAGGGGAGACCAGCTTTGTCCCAGCTCACTCCTGACAACCAGCCCATCACCTCTGTCAGCTTTTTTCTGAGACAAAGTGTAATTCAGTGTGCCAAGTCCTGGCTCCCTGCTCCCCCCTCTCCCTGGGATAGTTCCTCCCCTCCCCATGCAGGTCAGTGCTGAGCAAACAGCTCCTGAGGCTGGGGACCCTGGGGGAGGGATGAGCACAGTGGCCCAGGAGGTCCCTGTGTAAAGACCCGTCCAAAGCCCCAAACCTTCGGCCTCTCTGCCCCCCGCCAGCCTCCTGGCCCAAAGGGTGGGAACCAGGTGATTACCCCCAGAGCTAGGACTGGTGTCCCCTCCATCCCAGGTGCTCAGCCCCTTTCTTCTTGCCCTCTCCCAAGCAAGATAGCATCACCCCATAGCTCCCGAGATCCCTAACTCCACCTTCCTTCCTCCCAGCCTCACTGAAATTAGGGGTCATTACCATCGGGGTGTGAGATCTGAGCAGAGCTGCCTAGGTCACCAACCCGTCAACTCCCAATCTGCTGGAGGGCCCCAAAGTCCACCCCGGAACCAACAAGCCATTGCTGACACAGTGCCAAGGAGGAAGCAAGTGCTGGCCGGGCACAGCCCCAGCCGGTGTGGCGAAGGGCACAACCTCTCTCCCGTCCTGTCTCCCCTCCGTCAGAGCCAGCCGTGGTGACCGGGAAGCAGAGGCTCGCGTTCTTACTGACTCGTCTGAAGTGCACAATTTCACGTTTTCGTTTTCTCTGCCACACCAACGATTTCTGCTTCTAGGTCTAACCGGCATCTGTCTCTCCCCCAATCTTCCTGCAGAAGCAAAGCCTCTTGTCAAGTGTACAGGCCCTGACAGGGGCGTGGTGCCCGGTAAACAAAGCAAGCACAGGTTTCCGTGCTTGCTTACGAATGCGCAGTGTCCATAACAGTGCCCCATGTGCTCATCCCACGGCCCATGTGAAGCCGTCCCGGGTCAATCTGTGTTTACCTTGTTCATTGGCAATCTACCCACCGCTCTGCAGTGCCCCAGGGAGGCTGGGCAGTGGGTGGTGGTGTTGTCTGAGTTTTAAAGGTGAGGAGAGGGCAGTTCAATCAGCCACTCACCCATCAATCCAGTGACCCACCCCTAATATTTATGGACTGCTGACTCAGTGCCAGACACTGGCTCCAGTGTCTTGCCCAACCCTAATCCAGATGAGGAAAGAGAAGTACACAGAGGTCAGTTAATTTGTTCAAGGTCATGCTACCCCGGAAAAATACTGGTGGAGCCAAGATTCGAGCCCAGGCAATGTGTCCCCAGAGCATGGGACCCTGTGCTCCCTACCCAGGGTTCCCAGGGGCTGGGGGACCCAGAGGGGATTGTGCTGTCAATGAAGCATCACAATGCCCGCCCTACCAGCTCTCTCTCCGTTGGCACCTCCACTGCTTGCCAAGAGTCCCGGAAGCCCCAGGAGCCCCTGGCCTCCAGGAATACCATCTCACCAACAAGGAAGGCCCTGACCAAGGATGTCCAAGGTGGGTGGGCAGCACAGGGTGGGCAGCCAGACTGCCCGGGCACAAGAAGTCTGATTAGCAGCAAGGAGTCTGCAGGACCGAGCCTGGCCCGCTTGTGTGGCTGGGAGACTGGAGGCCTTGTCAGAAAAGATTGGCCCAGTGTACTTCGAATGCCACTACCCTACTCTCTTCCCCTCCCGACTGTCTCCCTGGGTTGGCTGTGGGACGGGGGTGGGCCCCCATGGAACTTTTCTGGCCCCTCTGCCCTTGACGTGTGTCACTTCCTATGTCATTGAGTAGTCTCTCCCGTGTCCCCGGTCAACTTGTAGCTGTGAATAGTAAGAGCTAAAGTTTACTGCCTGCTTAATAGGGCTAGCCACTTGAGCCGGCCTGTCTCTTTAGGGGGGGAGGGAGAGGCTCTTGGTAGCCCTAGTTTAAAGGCGGGGTAACTGAGGTAGAGAGTCCTGACAATGTACCCAAAGATAATAGTGGAGCTGGACTTCACACCCAGGTAGCTGGCGCCAGCTCCCCTCTCATGCACCCCGGCCTCAGGAGGATGCTAAGGACTTCCTCAGCTATGGGTGACTCCCTCACTCTGCCTGTTTCAGCTCCCGAAACTCAGACAGAAACCCACTGTCGTCCAGCCGATCTGACTCATGGTGACCCGTGGGCTACAGGGTTCCACTGCCCCATCGGGTTTCCTTGGCAGTTTTATTTATTCCCATGCCCTGGTGGCATAGTGGCTACAGGTTGGTCTGCTAACGACAAGGCTGGAAGTTCAAAACCCGCAGCCGATCCTCAGGAGGAAGATGAGGCTTACTACTCCCATCCAGTCACAGTCTAGCAAACTCACTCACAGGGCCAGTCCGACCCTGTCCTGTAGCGTTATTGACTCGATGGCAGTGGGGTTTTTGCTGCTGTTTTGGATTGGTCATCTCTGAAAACAAACAAACAAACAAACAAACAAACCATCAAACAAACAAACAGAACATCTCCAGCCCTTTTTCCTCCCCGGTGCCTCAGGGGTGGCGGAGGGCGGGTTTGAACTGCCAGCCTTGAGGTTAGTCATCCAGCTCAAGCTGCCAATCCAGCAAAGGCGCTCTCAGAAAGGGTCCGATGAGCATACCTGAAACCTAGACGCCGCTGCCCGCTGGGGCTGGCAGTAATGACTGTTTATGCCCGCTCGCATTGTGTTTCTATGGGTCCCACAGCGCGTGACACACACACACCCCGCCCACGCCACTGAAGCAGGCTTCCCTATTATCCCCACTTTGCAGATGAGGCACCTGAGGCTCAAAGAGGCTCAACCGCTTGCCCAGGTTGTCCGACCTGTAAGGGCAGAGTCGGGTCGTGAGCTCAATCCTCCAAACCCCCCAGCCAGGCACATTCCACAGCACCAGGTGTCCCTGGCAGGCTCGCCGGATACCCCACCCCGGATACCCCACACGGGCACTCTGCCCCTCAGGCCGTCCTGGAGTGGGGTCTAGTGGTGGTCATTCCAGGCGTGGGCGAGGTGGGCACGTGTGCCTGTGGGCCTGGACTCTTTGAGTGGGCAGGTGTTTTCCTAGAAGACCCGCAGTGACAGTACCGGTGCCGTCTTCCTGGCTCACCCAGGAAGCCCCCGCACCAAAATCGCCCCCTTTCCCCCTGCTCTAAACTCTGTCCGAAGGGTATATCCCCACCCAGCGCATTGACTAGGGCCACCCTGGGTTATCCAGTGGGATTCAGGGAGCGGGGAGGGACTGGTGAGACCCTCCACTCCCCACCCTGCATGCCCTTGAATCTGCACTGTGCCTTACACAGTGGGGGCTATGGGAGGCAGCAGATGGGGGAGTGGGGTCTTCCTTCGACCTCTGCCCCAGGGACTCTCCATCCAAGACCACGTAGGGCATGTTGGGCTGTGGGAGCCGTGGTCGGTGCAGGGGACTGTGGTGTGCATTGGTGGGCATTCAACAGCAGCCCTGGCCGCTGGCCGTTAGATGCCAGTCAGGACCTCAAAAATGTCTCCTGGCCTTGCCCACTGTCCCTTG